GAGTTGTTCCTGAACATTCTCCGGTTGTTGAGTTGTTCCTGAACATTTTTCAGGTCTTGAGTTGTTCTTGAACTTTCTCCAGTTGTTGAGTCTTTCTTGAACGTTCTCCGGTTGTTGAGTTGTTCCTGAAGGTTCTTAGAGGTTGCATTGTTCCTGATCGTTTGCTAGTTGCTGGTGGGAGGAACATGCTGCCTCTGAAAAGCAGATTAGAGCACTGCAGCACTGAGTTCAGACAGAACCTCCTCAGAACCGTTAGTTCTGGTTGACTTAATCTGCTGACTTCTTGCTCCTGAGGAACGTAATTTTTTAAACCTCCTTTTGGATGTTCTCCTCAAGGTTCTGTGGGATGAGGCTTTTTTCTCCTCAGGGTTCTCTTCCTAACATCATGTTCACCGTTTCTGTTCTCCGTCTTCATCTCATCGTCTTCCTCTCAATCTAGATCCTCACCTTATGGTTTACGGGTTTACCTCTAGTGGTGGAGAACATCTGCAGGGTTGAGAGGAGGACACACACACACTCCTGTAATTTCATAGGAACATTACTGACCTCTAGAGGTCCTCGGGTAGAAAAGCGACCACAGGGAAATCCCTTTATAAATGCATTTCTCTACCCATAATTATATCATCAAATAATGCATTCCTCTCATACCTGGATGATTGAGCGTACTTACTCTTTTTCCTCTCAATGATGTTTTTATTTTATTTTATCTTTACACTTTAAATTTTCTTATTCGATCTTTTGTTTTTTTATATTTGAGGACTTCTGTAATAATTTAGACGGACAGACTCCTGGAGGATCTGCGTCTCTCCTAGATGGATGTCGCCGCAGAGCCCGCCTCTCATCCTGTCTGACAAAATAGTTTTAGTTTGGATGTAAAGAGCAACAACTCGTGTCAACAAATCAAAGTTTCTTTATTTGTCATGCACACCACATGTGGTACATGTGGTGGAACAAAACTGTGCACACCGGGTCCCAGTTACATCCAACAACAATATAAATTATAAAGAAAAACAGTGATAAGATCTAAGATATGACAAGATATACACTAAACACGAGTAGCATAAAAACAACATCCTGAACAGCAGCACGAACATGAGTGTGTGTGAGCAGATGAGTACGAATGAACACAGCAGCATGAGATCAGCAGCACATCAACAATCACGTGGTTTCACAGTGATTCTCCTGGTTAAAGATTCATGAGTCTAACAGCCTCAGGGTAGAAGCTGTTCCTCAGTCTAGTGGTTCTACACTTAATGCTCCTCAACCTCCTTCCTGAGGGGAGCGGGACAAAAAGTGTGTGTGCTGGGTGAGTGTGGTCCTTCATGATGCAGGTGGCCCTCTTCCTGCATCTGGAGGTGTAGATGTCTGTGATGGTGGGGAGACTGACTCCAACATCTTCTGTGCAGCCTTCACCACTCTCTGCAAAGCTTTTCTTTCTGCAGCTGTGCAGCCTCCATGCCACACGTTGATGCTGGAGCACAGGATGCTCTCCACTGCACACCTGTAGAAGGAGGTGAGGACTGAGCTTCTCAGACCAGCTCATCTTAGGAAGTAGAGTCTCTGATGATCTTTCTTGATCAGGCTGGTGGTGTTGTTGCTCCAGCTGAGGTTGTTGTTCAGGTGCACACCCAAGTACTTGTAGCTGGAGACCACTTCCTGCACAGATCCTCATGGGGTAGATGTGTTTGTTCCGTCTGAAGTCCACGATCATCTCCTTCATCTTCTTCACATTGATATGAAGATTATTCTCTTTGCACCAGCTCTCCAGGTGTTCCACCTCCTGCCTGTAGCTGGACTCATCATTGTTTGTGATGCATCCCACCACCGCTGTATCATCTGTAAACTTTACAATGTGACAGCCTGGATGGGTAGCTGCACGAGGTGTGTGTTGCACAGGCAAACAAACATGCTGCAGGCTCCACGGCTCAGGTCGGATGACTGCCGTTGAGTGAAATCAGGGTGTCGTTAGCAGGTGCACTGTGCAGCACACTGGTAATTTATCTGGACCAGTAAAACAACAAACGTAGCAGAAACTCTGGTTGTGCATTTAGAAAGAAAAATGTGTCGAAGCACCAAACCACACGTGGAAGATTCACCAAAACCAAATCCTGATCTGGAGGGTTTTCATAAAACTCCAGACTTTAATTT